AGTACTAATGTTCTTAGGTTATGTACAATTGTTGAGAGTTTATTGAAATGCAAACGTATATTGTCTTTTTAGAGTTTAATATATTTAATGTACGAAATTTGTTTCGTTCTATTTTTTTCATTATAAGACGCGTTTAGTGCTTTATATTTTGATGAACGTCTGTTCGATAAATGTGCTATAATTTAGCGCATTGTCCTTGAATTTGTAAAATGGAACTTCCGTGCCGTGACCGATATGCTAAACAGACGACTTATGGTTGTTATGAACATTTTTATTAGACCAGGAACATGGCGCTTATCCAAATATAAAGGTCTTTTCAATATGTCAAATTATGCAATATTTGTCTCATAAATATTGCTAGGTACATTCTTTATTGTACATTTATCATGCATTTTCAGTCAGTTCAGTAAAGTTTATTATTCTTATAAATGGCTATGTATTATTGACACTTTTTTACTGTCTGTCCTTCATGACCTACATAGTTCCGCCCATCTATTGTTACGTACGTTGACTTATCGTAAAGTCAGGGCAAAACGGACATTTCGCTGTTGTGATGTTATTTCAAATTATTGTTAGTAAAGAACTTTGATGTTTGATGGGAGTTAAAGTTTTATTACCGCAGGCAAACAAAATATTTATGACGTGTAACAACACCTGATATATACTGGACTTTGAAAACCTCTTTCGTGATCGATTTTCAAGATTAGCTGTGCTAATCGGGCATCGCGTATGAATTTTGATATCAATATTGGACATCGTCTATACAAACAAATTAAATTCAAAACCTCTGGAGACGTATCATATTTGCGAAACTACAATCCACGCTTGAAATATCTGAGCGCTTGTCTTGATAAGAAAAAAAATACAGTTACGTAATTTATTGTGTTTGTAATGCGTACGTCATTTTCTTGTCGATGACGAATGTACATAACTCTCATCAAGTATTAAACTGTACAGTATTTTATTTAATTTGATCTTGAAGCAAGAAATTAGCTTTACATCCTTATTTTTAACTTTCCTTTTCATTAATTAGCTAAATTTTCTACAACTACAATTTTCTTTGCTAGACGATCACTGTTGCATTTGTTTTGAAATAAGGTTCCTATTAAAATAATGAATGCCTGACCCAATTAAATAAAATACGCTAAGTACATTTACATACCTATTATGCCACATACATGTGAACGAGATTCATTAAATGAAAATAAATGTTAAGAAACTAGTTATAAAGATCAAAGTTCCATTTTGTATTATAATTATCGTGCCTTTCAAGAGTTTTATGTAAACCAAAAATAAAATACATCTTATAATATAACTAACCTCTGTTTTTATTAACGTATAGATACCAACGATATAATTGTATAAGCATTTAATTTATTTTTATGAAATAAATTAAATCACAAGTCCACAAACCATTCAGGAGTTTTAAGAAATAGATGGCGCTGCCACCGTTTTTAGGATATGTAGATATATTCTGAGGTTAACTGCTGTTAGAAATAACTTAATAGAAGTACTTGTATACGAAACAAAATTAAGTAGTTATTTGTCTTAAGTATAGACTGAAGAAATATCCCTAGGTGCTAATAGAAATAAATCTATTAATTTATTATGTAGTTTTATTGCTAAAAATTAAATGGCAAGGTTCATTAAAATAGGTATTTGCTAATATAAATCATTGAAGATAGGTAATAGATGTATGAGATAATAGCATTATTATTGGTGCCTAAACAGCCAGATAACGCTCCTGACTCATAACTAAGCGACTACCTATTTTTACAAAAACACCGTCCTACTTTAGATTCCATGCCATACCTACCAAATGAAATCTAGTAAAGATTTGAAATGTTTCAATAAAGCTAGACGGGTCGATCGATTGATTAATAAAAAGAGATCAATACCAATTGATACCATATTGTCACGCTTGGGCACCAAATACAAGGAACAATTACGTCTAAAACGAAAGCCCAATTTAAGCCCTGACACTTCGGTATACAGTTCAAAATTTAACGAAGTTGTACTCAAAATTTATGACTACGCTAAGGACGATGTTTAATAAGAACAGAATTGTGATTCATGCAGAATTTTAACGGTATATTGTTCGTCATTGAGAGTAGTAGTACCTAATAAAGTAAATATGTGCACTGCCATAATAGGTATACCTATTAATCATGATTTATCGTCATAGTGAAGAACCTATCATGTGAACCTACATCAAACCTCTTCTGTGACGTCATATGCTACCGGATAGAGACCTACTTTTGTGTTTTCATGACGTCATCATCAGTTAGGTAAACCTGAAGAATTAGATTATCACATTGATTCGATTCACGATATTACGATTGACAAGTATTATGTGGCTTTATTATTAAGTATAACATGAATTCAAAATATAAAATATTTAACAGCGTTCGCTTTTTCCCCTTCAATGGGAAATGTGTCCTTTTTATCGCGTAAAATAAGGCTTCTCCCGCCCTCCGTGGGGTGAGAACGAGTGTCAGATTTTTGCTGCCTAAAAACCAGCCCTTTCTCCTGCTCCAGGTCGAGGCCGGGGTATATAATGCGTGCGAACACAAACCTGGCTTGACATCAGACCGGGATCGGGAAATAACAGTCTACAGTTACTATGCAGTGCGTAGTCAGTTAATCTTAACAAAACCTTATGTATTCCTTGTAACGTGCCTTAGGTACTCCCTGTATACATTTCAGCAGCTGCTAATATCGTAGACGCGTCGAGTCTAAAGCAATAGGGGGACAAATTCAGGGGAACACCAAAGTTTGTAGTTTTAGTCTTCTGCCTCTCCCGGCGCAAACCCTATTGAGGAGTGTCTAACGATATAGCTACTTACTATTTTTTTCCTTCTTTTGTATTAGGTTTTTTTTTTCTTTTTTTTACAAAACGTTGCCCCACATTAGGATTTTTTCCTGTGTCGTGGGTGCGGTTACAAACATACAATTTACATACACATGACACCCAGACCCGGGACAACAATTTGTGGATCACACAAACAGTTGTTCCGTGCGGGAATCGAACCCGCGACACGTTGCACGGCAGCCAGTTGCCCAGCCACCGCACCAAACGTGCAGTCAATTGTGGTACCTTTTTCTTGTTTTTTTTTCAATTGTTTTTACCTCTGCTTCGTTGGCTCTGAGTAAACGCTAAAAGTAAGGCGAAATTCCTAATATAAGTTTACTTGGGATCAGCAAAAACGAATACTTGATATTGCTTTCCTTAAGTGGGCGTATCAATATTTCGGTCGGGGTGTCATGGCTCTTACGCCGGCACTAGGCACAGCCTCTATGTCTAAAACTGACAAATTTCGGAGGAACATCGAAAATAATTATAGTATTTTGCGAATAAAACTAACAAAATTCAAAGAATTAGGTAGATTTTTTTATTTACCCTAGAACCTGAAAATCCAAGCGTTTTGATACGCCATTTTCCTAGAAGTGAGGAAAAATATGTTGCGCTACTTTTAGGTAATATCATTATAACCCATTTTTAGATGTAGGTATTTAAAAATATATGCTATCAGTGAGAAAGCAAGCGCGTCCTTATTTTGTATAGTTAGCATAATCTAATGTTGCCATCGAATTAGTTGTTACGTTGCAACACGAATTTTTCCTTGTTAAATATGAGCTAATTCTATATGAATTTAGCTGGGTTTCTTTGGATTTTCCGGTTAAAACTGGTTTTATCAGGATACCCTTCAACTTAACCACTTATCGTTCTTCGCTTTGCACTCACAAATGTTATATCTATAGATAAAAATAAATAATAAAATAAGGCAATTTGAGCAAATGATTTTTATTTGTAGGTATGGTACTTTGTACTTTCAGAGGTTGCAAACACTACAAAACATAATATCGCACTTCATTTGTTGATAACTATACATATAGGTACACGAGGTGTACCTAACGCTTATTTTTTTTACTTATCAGGTTTACATTCGGTGACTCCTTAAGCAAAGTTGCCTCTGATTATCTTGAGGATCTCCAACCACTTTGAACAATTCCAATTCTTCAAATAGATATCAATATCAGATTTCCCCCCTTTCGATGTAGTATTAAATTTTAGCGTATTTTCCTATGATTCTACACGTTAATTGACTGTGCAGCGGATGCTATTCTCGATAGAGGTAACAGAAAATTATTTGGAGACAGCAACTAAATTTAAGGTATTATTTATATTAATAAGACCAGTATCTATTTCTCATCCATTATGAAACACTAACGTTCAGTCGAAGAGACAGAAAAAGAAAATAACCTTAAGGACAATAAATTAATACAGTTTAGAGCTGACCAGTTTCAATTGACTCCCATCTTACTTATCATTGAGCCTGTTAGGGTAGAAGAGACAATGGAACAACAAATAACGCGAATCTAGTATCTGAATATTGATGAAACTATACACATGTATAGTTTCATCAATATTCAGCTAAATTTTGTAAGCCTTTTTGCCTCTGTCTAGGATTTTCTCCTGTGTCGTGGGTGTAACAAACATACACATCACACCCAGACTCGGCACAACAATTTGTAAATCACACAAAGAGTCGTTCCGTGTGGGAATCGAAACCCCGACACATTGCGCGGTAGCCCGTTGTTTCCCACCCGCCAAATGTGCTGTCATAATTTCATAGCAAAAAGCCGTTCACTTTGCCCTTAGTTATAAGGTAAACAGTAACCTATATTTCATTTCAGAATGTAAATTAACTCCAACAAATTTCATTCAAATTCGTTCAGTAGTTTTTTGGTGATAAAATACTTACTTCTAAACAAATCGCGTTTATAATATTAGTAGGATATCATTTCGCATAGTTTAGCGTAGCATAACATCTACATACAAAGTTCTAATGACCAAAATAAACAAGGAAATTCTCAACCACCGGTACAATTTAAATCAAAATGTACTACCAATAGTGTTTATATAAATATAACAAACTCAAATACAAATAAACTCGTATTAAGAATACGCTTTGTAGGTGTGTCATTTGTTTTGTACAATGATCAAGGTAAGTACTGATTACGTAAACGTGTTTTTACGTCCTTGGACTTGAGTCTCTGATCAAAGTACAAATGTTAACGAGTTTTTTTTTATCTTTATCAACAACGTAAAGATGTGAACGGTGATGGGGCAATTTACTTTTTACGATAATATTTAGGTGCTTTCACTAGCTTTTCTTGTTTTTTTTTATTTAATTAGGTACCTAAATCTGGAGGAATACGATTTTTTTCAGAATTTTTTACTAGTTGACAACGGTGGAGTTTACTTAACTTGCACTTTTTAATACGACGCCACTCTCTAGTATTTTCTGCTGCGCCGTGGGTGCAATTACAAATATACTACATATATACTAATACTAATACAATATATATATATACTAATACAGTATATACTAATACAATTTCACACACACATCCGTCCAGACCCAGAACAACAATTTGTGGATCATACAAAGAACCCGCGACACGTTACGCGACAGTTAGTGTCCCAGCCACCGTGCCAACCGTGCAGTCATGTTTAACTTGCATTTTTTGTAGACCTACAACGTCACCACCATCACTATACTGGCCATAAGATTTCCAATCAACATATTCCTATCCCAGTTGCTTGCAAGCGTAGGGCAGGAGTCCAAAACAGCTAAACTGGTTTTGATGAATTTTGATATTTCCAGGAGCTTGAGAAACTTTGCGACAGTGTGGGCTTGAAGGTGAAAAAATACGCCAAAATTGGGCTTTCAAATCACATAACCAGTCTCAAAGCGGAGCAAACGTTACTTTTTAAAGAAAGAAAAGAAGAAGAAAATTATCGTTTATAACATATGAATAAAAGTACAAATTTTGACTAGTTGGAAACTACCGTATTAATTGATGTATTGCGCAGTTTAAGCTTATATTATAGCGTGACACAATTAATATTCAAATTTAGAACAAATGTTCTATACATAGATATATCTACGCACTTATGTTCCTACGCCCGCGCATAACGGACGCAAAAGGACGACCGGTAGTGCTATGAGTCCGTCATTGTTATTTGCATAAGAATTTGCATATACTGTGACCTTATATTATAATTTAATTAATATGTTTATATTAAATGAGTTGTACTGGAAAATGTTGTCGTAGTCTCTCAAAATGTAAAGTTATTGTTTGATTGAACTTTAATGGTAAAAAATCTAAGAAGATAAAATAAACACATCTCGATTTTATTTAAAAAAAAAACGCCCCACATTGCGATTTTCTTCTGTGTCGTGTGGATGCGGTTACCAAGATACAATTTCACATACACATGACACCCGGACCTGGAACACCAATTTGTGGACAAAGAGTTGTTCCGTACCCACGACACGTTGCACGGCAGCCAGTTGTCCAGCCACGGCGCCAACCGTGCAGTCGAAAATTGTTGTCATCATGAAACTTGGAAATTTTATGTAGACATGATCTGATAATGGAATTGAAGGTTGTTTGAACTTTGGACCGCCTAAGCATATCAGTGTTTTGGCTCATTAAATAAATAAAATTCTCATATGATTAATAACATACCTACTTTTAGTTTTTTTTACTATATATATATACTTATTGGTTACCTAAAGATACGCCTGTTGCGAGAATGAATTTAAGATGTACAGGCATCGTACAGGTTTTTTATAAACCTATTCAAAATTGACTAGTTTAAATAAAAGTGTTTGTTTGGATGTCGGTTCGATTCCCGCTTGTAATGTGTGGTGATTATTGTGATTGCGTAATGAATTTTAACACACCTACAGCGCGCAAAGAAACGTAACAATTCCTCTAATTAGCATAAGTTTGTTTATTATTTTGTTCATAAAACGCTTAAATAAAAGTGTCGAAATGTACATATCTATTAATTTTATTTATTTTGATGACTAGGAAAGAATAAATTCATCGTTGTTAATAACAGTGACGATTCGGGGAATAACCTCTCCGCAAATTTAAATCAAGACACAAAATGTGACATTAAAATCTGGTATCAAATAACTGATTCATGAGTTATCAGTTTTTATAAAGAGACCAATTGTATGAAAACTATAATGAATTCTTTATTTTTCAAGACCAATTTCTTCACTGTAGGTTAGTTAAAAACCAGTATATCGTAGTCTCGATTTCAATGATCTTTCCCCACATTAAACCGTCAGTTTACCTATATTGGATACACCAGCAGGTCAATCTCATCCTTTTAGCCATTTGCACAATGGATTTTAAGTTTTATATCCAAAGAAAAAAAATATATAAATTAATTTGTCACAAAAATGTTGGTTGCTTTGATGGTGTCTGTATCTACATTCTACGTGCAAAAATAAACCTAATTTTAAGTGAATAAAGATTTATCAGTAAAATTCAAGATCGTGGGCGTCCGTGTTCCTACTTCCTTTATCTCGTACGTAACTGCGTCATAGATAACAGTAACAGTGTTGTAGACTAAAGTCCATCTGCACGGCTGGATAGAACAGACGTCATATGCTACTCACTGTCATACTTTGTTCTTTATTAATAATGCTAATAACAACATTAAAATGCGTAAATGATTTGAATTTAAATGCAAAGGTTAGTGTCAATGTTTTATTGATGTTCATTTAATGCACGTTTGATTTTCGAACGGAATAACTCTGTGTGATCCACAAATCGTTGTCCCGGGTAATTGTGTATTTGTAAACGCACCCTCAACACGTATAAAATCCCAGCGGCGCGGCGTTTTATTTAAAAAAATTGTGACAACAAAGTAACTTGTCAAAGCCACTGCATCTTCTATACTATAAGCCAGTTTTTCCCTAGACACAACCTTGAAAACAAAGAACCATTGAAGTCCGGAGCATCCAACGAAAAATCAGAAGATATTATTTGAGGGGAATAAAAACGAAATAGTTTTCCCTTCCCTCAGTGAATTTAATGCAGGAGACAGAATGACTTAAGCCAGAAAGGCTCAAAAGAGACTGCATAACTGGGAGAAGTCCAGTCGCCAAAAGCATCACGATATTATCCTTCACCGAATGTCAGTGTCACAATCTTCGAAAGGACATATTACTCGAAAAAGCTCACATTGGTACTTAACAGGTTTTGAATCCGTGATCATAAGAAATGGGCGCCTTAACGTCCGGGTCACCGCAACAGCAAGGCGTATAATAAGTCTATGTTATAACAATAGTATATGTTATAACAAGTCTAGTATCTAAAAGTAGACACAGTAACCTTCTCAAATTAAATTAAGGTGAAATACATGATGAAACATTTTCTTACATGGTCGATAACACTTTCCGATGTGTCTTTAGCGGTTCAGGTTATGCAGATGAACTTAACTTTAATTACGGGCACTGCGTTTTTTGTCGATAGGCATACTGGCAGACCTTGCCTGATGGTAAGCAATCAGCGACGCCTATGGATACTCGCAACATTGAGCTACGTTGCCAGCCTTTTGATTGTTCGTGATTTGAGTATTGGGGATGGGATTAGGATTTGGATATCCCCATAGCCTAACTCACACAGCGAGACACAGTTGTCGTTGTCTCACGCCGGTTTTCTGTTTTGCTGCTAACCCATAAGGCGTTTAAATCCTTTTTGTTATTATTAAAAAACCGACTAAATGCAAGTCGAAATCGTGAACAAATATAATAAGTAATTTAAAATTTCTAAATAAAGTTATTTTTAGCTATGTATAAATAAATGTTTAATTACTAATACTGCTTATAATAATACTTATGTTCAAATAATATTTTATATTTGTCACATAAGACCTATTTTATTAATAATATAAGATGTAGGTATTGACATTGAATTGTATTATGATACAAGGCTTTGAGGGACAAAATAAAAACCACTTTGCTCACCGTGGGTGGGGAGGGGAGAAAATTTTTTACGTCTGATAATGTATTTCATTTGCTATTTCTTTTGGTTAAAACACAAAAGGTATGCTGGAGCCACCTGGTGTGCATAAAACGAACGAACGAACTATTAAGATGTTTATCACCAACAGCACGTAAAAGTTCGCTGCTAGAATTCTGCAACATAAAGGCGTTTGACATTATCCCCTCGCTTGGCAGCCTATTGGAGATCGCAGTTCAGGTTCAGATTAATCAGACAGCACAGCTGCTCGACCCAGCCAAATGATTAGTTCCTTAGTTGGCACTTACGACACTCTTAGATACTACAGGTCTTCTTGCAGCATTTGTAGAGTTTTTTGATACCAATTATGTTTTAGTTTCTATCTAACCTAATGGGACGAAAGTAACTTATCTTTGTATGATCTGGTTCTAGATAACAATTTGTGCCTTTTATATATAAATTGCTACCAATAAAGCTTACCAGTGAAGAGAAAAGACACGAGAATGAGAACGTTGACGTTCCGAATTGATCAAACGTGATGTAATAAAATAGTAAGAAATTTGATTAAATAATCACATTTTACATTGGTTAAAGATATGGATCTTTAGGAACGTGAAAAAATGTAAAGAATATACAGGGAACCCATTCCGAGTTTGTGCTAGAGTACAAATATACCTTAATAAGTAGAACAGCTTCGAGACTTGATAAATATCGGTGAAGATGATGATGTTAAATTAGCCAGTACAGGCAGGTTTTTTTATTTTTTACAAATTAGCAGCGATCAAACTTACTTATCACCTGATGGTAAGTGATCAGCGTCGCTCAAAGTCCGCCAAAACACCAAAGGAGTTACGAGCGCTTTAGTATCTTTGAGAATACACGTTTCTTGAAGGTTTGAATGTCATATCGGTTTGAAAATACCACCGCCGCTAAATCGTACCTTTTTGCTGTCTGAGGCAGAAAGTGTGTCTGGACAACACATTGCAGTCCATGATCTCACATGGCCTCATCATCTTTGTGGCACCGTCAGACATGTTACATGACAATTACATTATAAATAAGTATCCTATACTTAAAAATTATCTACAGACGTATTGGCTTCTAAAAATTCTGAACTTTAAAAGACGACGGTTACCTATATCAAAACTCTTAGTTGATTCCGAACATAAGTACCTACTAATAATAATTTCAGAATTGTTCGATTCTATTGCTTCTTCTTTGTTTCTGAACAGTATTTTAGTGTGATATTCTTGTTTCTTTAAACTTACCTTTATTTAGCACCCATTTAGTTTCCTTTCGTATTGAGAATATGTGATTTCTATTACAGCATGGGTAAGACTGCCGATAAAAAAAGCATTGTGGACCGAGGAGAGTTTGCGAGGAGCCATGTCGGCTGTTCTTCATAAGAAAATGACGAAGCTTCAGGCATCAGCTTTATATGGTATTCCTCGGCAAACACTAGCTGACCACCTTGCCAAAGGTTGCATCGACAAAAAAACAGGAAGAAATTCGATATTAAACGAAGCTCAAGAATCAGCACTAGTAAAAAGACTGATAAAGCTAAGGAACAATGGAGGACCGTTAACTCCTTTCATTATCTGTAGACAAGCTTATATTTTTTGCGAAAATTACAATATTAGGCATAATTTTAATTGCGAGTCTAAACTTGCAGGCAAGAAATGGCTTAATAGGTTTTTGAAACGACAACCTGTTGTTTTAAATTGTTTATTTTGATTATAGATTCAAATTTAATAATATTTATAAAGCACGCATTGCGAAAATTCGAGATCACGATGATGTAAGTAGCCTATATATTTAACCGACTTCAAAAAAGGAGGAGTTTCTCATTTGTTAGTTTTGAAATTTATCCTTATTATTTACCTGCAGTTGCAATTTATTCCTACTCTTTTTAGTAAGTTGTTCTTTTGAACTATAAAGTAATAACACTAAAAGTTTAGAACTACGCGTAGAGCTCGATCGACGTTTCTGTGACGTTCCGTGCTGACAGTCCGCGATATTGACGTTTCCAAAGTGCCTGTTAGAATGTTTGAAATAAATGCTTTAAAACTTTGTCGTTGAGTTTCATTGACAACATATCTTTTGTAAATTTAGTTGTTTATGTTTTTTTTTTATATTGCAGAAGATAATTTATTTCCTAAACTTTGCACTTGCTATACAATAAGCTATTAATTCTCTCAGCCTTGACTTTTGTACGCAGTGTCTCTAAAAATACCAGATCGAGTCTCTAGTGAGTCACGAACCACGGGTCTTGTGAACTTGTCCTTCGTTTTTGAATTGCGGTCTACATATTTTAGTTGTTGACTTAAAAATTTAAAAAAAAATTGCTTTTAAAATCGAGGCTGTATCTCTATACCTGGCTATGTTCTGGCTGACTATAGCGAGCTAGGTTTTAGATAGATACTGCAATCAGGTTCCAAAATTGTTCGTACCTATACTTAATTAAACATGCGGTTTTAGAACGATTTAACTTCTCGTCTGCCGATATATGAGACACAGCAGAAAACATATTGTGTCTCGCATAGGTAGATCTGTGCTCTTGGGTTAGGAGGTAAAATTATTCCAATCAGGTTACTGTTTGGGAAGGGATAAACCATCACATTATTTTCTCCGTCCTGGGTGAAGCGAGATGGGGTTCCAGATTCTTATTGCCTAAAAATCCAGTTCCTTCTCCAATTTCGGACTGCGGTCGTAACCCCAGCATCACTTAGCTAGCAGATGGTACTAGTTTCTTAGTGTAAATAGTGTAAATCATATAAGTCTAGTCTCTAAATTCTAACTAAGATGTTGTAAATACAAAAGAACATTAGACAAACAATGACAAATACGAATATACATACATATCGAATCATATATTCTTAACTCCGTCTTAGAAAGCACGCCTAGACGTGGCGACGTCAGGTCATCTGGCACGGAATCAAAACGGGTGCACGAGTTTCACTTGCCTCTAGCCGGAACACCAATGGCTCAAACCTCTTCACCTCATAAAAAATATAAAAAAAACTAAAATGTATTACAAAAAAAATAGATAAATTAGCCATGAAAGGATTGTTTACAGTAGGTAATCACTTTTCTAAGATACGAATTTGGCCGCTCAAACGGTCTACGTAGGTACGTCATTATTTTCAAAAACACGTGTAGTGTATTAGAGTGTAAAAACAAGTTGTTCAATGAAAACGAATGACGTGCAGTCATATAAATATCATACCTACTTAATATTTTCATATAATGGTGATAAATTATTTAAGTAATCTCAATACAATAAAGACCTATTTCTCATCTAGATATTTGCGTTCATACAAATTACGTTCTAAATTCAAATTTAGTAGCTATTCACTAATTGTGAAACGGGTCATTAGTATTGGAAATAATATTTATAGATTCCGACCGAAACGTATTAGGGACTACTAACGCCATCTGTTGGTGAGTAGCAAGTGTGATAAGATTCATCTTTCCTAACTAATGCTCGTGTATTAAATTTTCTACATAACAAGTTGCGGAATTTGATGACTTACCTATGTCCATTATTTTTCAGTTTCTTACATAACAACCACAAGAGGTGCGAGGTTACTCTACATGGATGGTTACACTTTTTGGCGAGGGCCTCAATCGAATTGTTGCGATGTCTGGTACTGTTCATCTAGAGCAAACAAATGTCCAGTTTCAGTCAAATTTTATAGTGCCGACAATATGGTACCAGTGGTCGAAGGATTACACAATCACAATAAACCTGTCATGATTAGAAATGAAGACGGCACGTATTATAAAATGAATCGTTTCACACAGTGAGAACGCGTAAGGTCGACTGTTTTCTATTCGGTTTGTTGAAAACTTTTTTTAAGTTTATTCTTTTCTATGTAAGTAGTGGTAAATGGAAATATATATTTTTATTTTCTTTCTTTCGTATCAAAGCGTGTCTGGTTTTTTATAAGTAGGAACTTTTTATAAAATTAACTTCCTATTTTGAATGTTGTGTCTTTAATTAATTAAATAAAATTTTACAACGGGATTATTATATTTCATTTGTGATGGATCTTTGCTTAAAACTTGGCGACGTTAGAACCAAATAATACTATTTGTGTTTTGTGAAGTTTCAGTCATATTTTATAATATTCATAAATAATCCGCCATGTACATTAATTTGTTTAAAATTTAAAAATGAGAAAAGAATAGAAATAATTTAATTATATTCAGTTTCAGTCAGTAATAAACCAAATTATAATTCAATCGAAATAATGTAAAATGACGCAACTAACGCCATCTCTGTGAGATATATAGGATACATTGTTGACGCCAAAGTGTTCAGTGTTATTTTTGTTATGGTAACCCTTTGCAAGTGCAAAGTGTGAAGTTTGGCAAGGTAAACTAATACTTCGTTTCTCAGTAGAGCGTGTAATATTCTATGTAATATACTAAAACATCACAAAATCGACGTATTTTTCTGACTAGAAGAGATTGTATGTTAGCTTTAAGATTTTACACATTGTTTTTATTTCTACGTGTTACGAAACGTAAGTATCAAGCTTCGACTTGTCAAACAAATACAAACGTCATTTTGATTTGACAGTTTTGTTGCGTCATTTCATTTATTTTTACTGTTTTCCCACGTTTATCTTTTAGTTTCCAATTTATTAAGTTCTGTGTGTTTTATTTAATTTCAACTATAATTTGCTTGCTATGTCATAGGCCTTGTGCCATTTATTTTTATTCTTTGGTTAGGTCGCTGGGGACAACGAACGTTGCAATGTTCAGTTGTTTTGATACTTCGCAAAACGTTATTGGTGTAAATATAAGCTTATTACCTGTTGAGCTATGATTAACTAGGTGAAATTATTGCAGGTGACGATTTTGTGCAGTGCGTGCCTACTAAAAAGGGTCATCAAATATTGTTTAAAGGTTACACATACGTTTTTAAAAGTAGGCTACAATGTGGAGCTGAGCAGTGGATATGTTCGTTTAGACAGAAAACAGGTTGCATATCTGTCATTAATATGCAAACATACGGCGTCGAAGTAGTCCGAGACTTCCATAATCACAAGAAACCTATGTTTTCTGACTAACTAACTTGAATCTATGTTATGTGACAAAGTACAGTATTATAAAATTCTGTAATCTGCTATGCTACTATGTTGTTATTGTTTCGTATTTATGTTTTCTTTTATTAAAAATCAAGAAATTATTTGTATGTTGACTAAGAATAAAGGCTACTTAATAAAAACTTATAACTTTATTTTATTATTTTACTGTTGATTTAAGCAATAATATGACAAAAACCAAATGTAATGATACATTATCTTTAAAAACTAGTATTTATTTAGAAATCAATAAATATTTGAATTGTGGTTGTTAGTTTAAGATGAGAATTAAAAAATTTAATGATATAAAAACATTGTGTTATTTTCCTTATTATTGTTAGGTGTAGTAAAAATAAGTATTTGTATTACCATATAAAATAACAAGATAAATCTAAAAAATATTTGAAATTGGTTACAGATGAGCCTGAACAATTCCCGGAATGGACATCAATATACTTTGTTAAAGTGGGAGATAATGAGATGAAATGTAATCTTTGTGATATCAATCTTAAAGTCGATGAGAAGTCCATGGAGTTAGTAGAACATATGAAGGTTGATCACAAGGACATTTATGATCTCCACAAAGATAACCCAGAGGCTACCGTTGGCTTCAGAATTGAATTCTTGAATTTAAATATGTTAAAAGACGACGGAGATCCTAAGAATGAGCCTGTAATACTTGGTGAAGTTTGTGAAACTACTACAGAAACAATTGAACAGAAAGTTGAAGATATTTCAACAAAAGCTGATGATTCAAACTTGCCTTTTGTATTGCTTGACCGTAAAAAGAAGCCAAGACGTGAAAGTGCAGGTTAGTAGGTGATTTTATTTGAATACTTATTGAAACAGATAGTTTTCGGACTGGATTGACTAGATTGTTGAATCCTTTTTCTACTACTTTTTGAAGCTTATTTGAACTGATTTAATATAAATTAAATTAAAACAATAGAATTAGATAGCAATTATGTACGAAGTGGTATTTATGTATATTTTCTCAAAATGGCAATAAGTTTATGTGTCTTAAAACACAACTTAGAAATGAATAGTGCTATGAACAATAATAACAGGCAATCTTAGGTTTAAATTGATTAAAGAAAAATAGAAATATATTTTTAAAAGATATTAACCGTATATTTTACATCTTTTGTCTATCATACAGTTTTCAATGTACAAACACATACAACATAAGTTTTTTTTAATTACAGGGCCACGCAAACGCAGCTGGGTTTGGAAGTACTTTGATAAGCTGAGCAACATTATCTACCGTTGTAAATTGTGCAACGTAGTACTCTCAATCAAGGGCTGCAATTCTAACAATATGAATAGACATGTCCGCTCCAGACATCCAATGGTCTTCAAGAGTGAGGTAACGAAGAGAGAAAAAAGTGATACAATTTTAGTTGACAGCGGTTTTGTGCTTACCAGTGAGACAAACACACCGTATGCAATTAAAACTGAAGAGATATATGCCAGCGATAGAGACTTTGAAGAAATTATAACTACAGGTGAGAAAATATTCAGATTTTAATATTGTCTATAGTGTATGAGCACACAGATTACACGCAAAACCAGTATAAATTGATTGTTGATGTGCGCAATTAACACAAGAAGCGAGATCATTATAAACTGGTTTTCAATGTAGCTTAGTGTGTTTAAGTTTTGACCTTCAGATAGGCTTATTAATTTATAGATAGATATTCATAAACAACATATTCTTCTAAGGTTTCAAAATCTAACTTACAAAAATGTTATAATCAAGTGTGTTGTTGGCACAGTGGCTAGGAAACTGTTGTGACACAGTCTGGGGTTCAATTCCTGCACAGCAATACCTAACGTGTCAGCCGGGGTTGCGGGGTAAGCGCAATGAGGTACCGCGACCTCGGCACAGAGCAGGAGAAGGAACAGGGGGGTTTTTAGTCAGTAAGAGTCTGACACTCCCTCCTGCCCGGCCCTGGGCGGGAGAAGTCATTTGATGATTTTCCCCTCACAAAAATACCTAACGTGTGATGTGTCGACTTCCGAGGAAACACCTCGAACATCTTTGATAAATGTTGAAAACAATTTATACATTGATAAATATAAATTTTCAGAGACCCCAACACAGAAGATGCGTCGTAGCTGGATCTGGTCGTATTTCGACCGCGTGTCCAGTACTCAAGCACGCTGCAAACTCTGCGACCGTCACATCTGTCATGGGGGCAACGCTACCGGCAATATGAACCGACATCTTAAGATGATACATCATAAGACTGCCTGCGATATGCCTTGTAAGTTCATTTTCATAATTATAAATACGCTTTTGAGGTGGAATATCACAATTACGACTTACGTTAATTAACTGGGAAGCTCTACTAGTTTCAAGTCACAACGGGACTCTTATTCATGAGTAGCGTCGCGGCGACGTCGCGCAGCCAATTAGTAGTTTTACTTTATTAATGGACGTTAGTAAGTCGTTATTTTCAATCAATTTAGTATGTCTCACGATATTTAGTATTCAAAAAATAAATTTCACTTATGACCGTACAGTTAGCCTAGTGGCTATCATATGGTGCAAAGTGTGGGGTTCCATTGCCGCACGGAACAATGCTTCGTGTGATCCACAACATGTTATTCTGGGTCTGGGTGTGACGTACATGTGAAATTATATGTTTATAAACGCACCTACGATATAGGACCAAAATTTAATTTGGGGCAATGTTTAAAAAAACAAATCAAGTGACAGCTTCAAAATCATTATATATATAATTCTGATGTGTGCATGTCATTCAACTCCTCTAACTTTAAATGTTTTTTTCTGTATGCGTTTAAGTAACATCCTGGATAGTTTTAATTCACAAATCGGCCCGACAGATGGCGCTGATTGTCTGAAAAACGGATCTCAGAAACGGTCCTAACAATTTCGCTGAAATTTGATATGTGGGGATTTTCGGGGAGGAGAGAATTTAAAACATTAACAACAACATATTATAAACCCCGAGGCCGTGGAGAATGTTAATCAGTATAATATAAAAAAGCATAAATAGATTATAACTTTAAAGAATTTTAAACCTACCTTGGCATTCTAGTTCATTTTATCAAAGGAATGCGCATTGGACGGCGAGAAGTTACTGCGCTAAGCGGACATTTTTGTTTCAGGATATAAAAAATATTGGAATAGATAATTCCATATATTTTTTTTAAATATGTTTTTATTAATAGATTATTTTATCTTAAATTATTTGCATACATTGTTACGCCATAGTGTTACTTTAATCTTTCCCCTCATCTCTAAATATCCAATTCTCAAATTCTGGCGATAAGGCCCTATATCTCATCTGGTGTTGCCGATGGCAATCGGCGTTGGTGATTGCTTACGGTGCTCTAGAGTACAGGTGTTATGCCTGCTTGTTTACCGACCGATTATATCAAAAAACACATAGTTTTGAAATGAAAAACAAAAATTCATATGACTCAATCGAGACCCAAGACCTTCGGCTTCAGCAAGCGAATTTACAAAAGATTTCTTTTAAAATCCATGACCTCAATATATATAGAAATCAATTCTACAAAATACATTTTCTATCTATACCTACTAATATTATAAAGTAAAGAGTTTGTTTGTTTGAACACGTTAAATTTGAAACCACTGGTTCAATCGAACAATTCTTTTTGTGTTTGTTAGTCCTCTTATCGAGGAAGGCTAAAGCTATAAAACATAACGCTACGATCTATAGGAGCCGAGCAGCGGGTGAAACCGCCTGAGTACCTAGTCTTAAACACGCATATTCATATTCCAGGTGACCAGAGCTGGGTGTGGAAGGTGTTCGAAGCGATCGACAACGACTTCTACAGCTGCAAGATATGCCAGTACAAGTGTCTGAAGTGCAGTGATATTGACAAGAGCATGGCTGGTATACTCAACCATCTTAAGTTAGAACATGGTGTTGTTTCTGGTGATCAAATCATCACTGGTGCAGACGTTGAAACCGAAGAGACTTGCTGAGGTACCGTTCCCACCCAGTTAAATTATATATTAATAAAAAACATTTTGTGATTTGCTTAAAGAAGTGTCTGGATTTTTAACTGGGGTTTTTGTATAAGTGATAGTGTGAAGGTTTCAAGTCAAATTGGTGTTTACATCGCCTTTTCCCAAAGGGACAGCAAATATACATATATAGTAAAGACTTTGATTCAGAAATCAAGCTTCAAAGCTAACACGGTACTGTTTTTAATGTTCTCAATAAAACATGTGTAAATTTTGTACAGTGTCATGTATTTTAGCTAATTTTAATAATGATAGCTTCCATCTTCTTGTTTTAGGCATCATAATTTATAAATTTGTCGCCACATTTTTGAAACAAAAGTTCGAAATGTTCTTAAATCACTATTTTGACTGCATGATAATTTTAGTTAAATTGTGTAACGTAATCGTTTTGATTGTCTTTCTTCTAATTTACTTGAAGTGATCTGTATTCTTTTGATTTCATCTACAGTAACAAACGATGCTAATTAATAATTTTAAATGTCTCATGTAGTGTACAAAAAGCCCTTCGCGCCAGGGATAAGCCTTTGACTGCTGACAGAAAACTGTTGAAGGCAAATACTCCGATAAATATGTCTTTTCTTCTAGCAGGTGGTCATAAAGATTGTACTTATCAATACAAATTAGTTGATTTCTTAATATTTGATAGCCTGATTTTATAACCAGAGACAATCATTAAAAATGTATCTACATACCTATTCATTATTATTCAGCTACCTTGTGAGAACTAAGGTGATACCTTATGGCCTCTAAGCGTTATCATGAGTGGTAAATCAAAATCCCTAATAAAAAAATACGAAGCTATTATTATATCTTTGGCCTTTTTCTAGGTTATTTTACTTTAAGTATATAATTTGCCTTACCCCTTGGGGATCAGGAGGCGTGGTTTTATGTAGATCCACGGCATTTATTTAGGTTTTATTGAAGTTTATTTTATGCAGGTTTATTTTATAAATCATTTCTTTGAACTTCACCATCATTTATCAGCCTGTAAGTGCCTACTTCTGAGCAAATACATCTTCTCATCTACATGCTTGGTCAAGGCAGGTTGGGGATTTCAATCTTATAACTAGAAAATCTAAGTTCAGTTTCCCTTCCGATGGTTTCTATTTAATATAAATAACATTTAATTTAGTAAAAGTCACATTTGTACTGCCAGGTCTTATGCATGAGAAGGAGGCACCGTTGTGACAATGGTGGACTAATAATTAGCGAAAAAGTGAAGTTGCATCTTAAATACCCCTTACAATTACTCTTTAGAAGAGATATTAGAGGTTTTAAATTTATGAAATGACCCTGTATCTAAAACTTCAGTAAAACTCTCAAAGTAATGTTTGAACATAGGTTTATTTAAGTTGGTATATTTAGTTTAAAACCTTTCTGCTACGTTTTTATATATATTAAAATATAGTTTTATTTTAAATATTAGTTTCTAGTTAATTATAGTTGTTCATAATATAGTTAGCTTAATTTTTATTTGGTTTTCAGTGTGTACAAAGTTTTTAAAGTTATTTATAGATATGGAAACATATTATCATTGTTTTAAACATCATATTTTTAGTTTATACCTATTTTATTTTGCATCTCGAGTTACTTAGATGCGTACCTTTTAGCACATTATATTTTTTAAATAGATTGGTAAAATGCATTTACAATTGAACCATGTTTTTCTTAAAATTGGTTCTCCTGTACGTTTTTAAAGTTAACAATATTATCAAAATTGTTATTGTTAACATTATTTTGGCAAGAGTTAAAAGATGTCTTGTTAGTCAAGGGGCAATAGTTGAAATAAATGTTACAAACAGAATCACAATTCTAAATTACAATTTCTGATATCACTAGATGGCGCTTCGATCGAATTGTTCTATCAGTTCAATCAAAAGCCTTCTTCAATGTAGACTATTTTTTATAAACGGCATGTAAATATAGATACTATTACTATGTTATTATATAAAACACCAGAATGTTTGTAATATTATATAAAGTGCACCGCGATTTATATGTAACATTTTTAACTATCAATGTATGGGAAAGTTCAACCAATATTTTAAACTTATTTATTTTCTTAAAAATTCACATGTGTACTGCCAACATTTCTCTATTTGTATATTACTAAAATGTACATCTTTTAAACATCTTTAAGCTGTAGGTGGATGGAACTGCATAAGCAAAAAATAAAATTGAGCCATGTTGGGTCCTTCATATAAAACAATTTTGAAGTTATATAATTTTCTATTGGCAGAATAGTTTTCAACCTCCTTGCTCTTAAAACTCTTTTAACGAAATCTATTTATTTTAATTATCTGTGCATACAATTGCCGCGTACTTTATCTTATTCCCAAATACTTATCTCTAATATAGAAAGTGTTCTGTTACAAGGAAAATTCTCCTTTGATTAATGTAATAAAGAAATAGTATTTTGTCTTGTGTATAAAATAATGCAAATCTAGTTTTATTTTTATATAAATAAGGTAGGTTTTTGGGAATCTAGTATTAATTAAGGTTTTTTTGTTAACGGCTATTGGTAGCACAGGTTTTTTTCTAGGTTTATGTATTAAATAAAATATTAGTTGTGTACATATTTTAAAGCTTAAAAATAAACACGGGCAAAATATTATGGAGTTGTAATTTTAGAATAATAAGTTGTGTTACTGTATTTTTTTGATGTTGTATCATTGTTTTTTGTTTAATATTTTTGTTTTGTTTTTATAATTTACCTTTTTGACTTTTTCCAGATGCCTGTCGCCTAGTGGTGTGTTCCTTTGTTCATTATTGTGCGTATTCTATAAAATTTAAAGTTAGACACTACAATTACCTTATATTTTTCTAGTGTTAATTTCGGCTTGAACTGGTATAGTTATACAAAAATATTTTTCTAATGATAAATTTCGTCTTGAACTTTTAATGAACTATTCGTGGTATAGTCAAAGTAGGAAGATACAGCTGTATTGCTAAGAGAAGTTTCTCAAGCCTTTCCAACTTTATTCTCTATAACTTTATATGGCATTGACCATTAACATTTATGAGTAAATATATTAGCACAATATTGAATCTAACACTAATACTTCTTTATGTACATTATACTACTTGTTGTTTTTTTATTTATTTTATTTTTTTGTTCGTTTATTTCATCAATCACCAAGCGAATGCCTACCTGGTTGGAGCATCTATTTATAGTATATAAATGTAAGAGATATTATGTTATATTTGGCACTATTTACTAAGTTACCATGGTTAAGTTATAAAAAAAAAATAGAATAAAATAACAGTTATGACTAGTTTTTATTCTCTTGCAAACATCGAATTACATCAAGATACATCTACACAATTTGGCAAGTATTCACTACCGGTATTCAACGCACACAACCATGCAGACATTATATTTAATACGTACATAATTATATATGTATATTATTACAGGTAAGAGGTAGCCAGCCAATTACATAGCTGTTTGTTTTCACACATTAAATTCTTTTAAAATTATATTTACATTAACATTACTGATAATTATTATTCATTTTACCTTTTTATCTTACTCAAATTAAACAATGATATGGATTTTACAACATTTCAGATATTCTCCAAACCTTTATTGTCACTTTTCACATAACGAACAGAATATATTGTTTATATATAGTTCTATATATGTTTATAAATCATTTGAGACATTAAAAAGTTATTCAAAGTTACGATTTGGCAAGAAGGATGGTAATTTTATCATCTAATTTACAAACAGCAGCATAAAAATATATATCCTAATAAATAACTTTGAATCCGTAAGGATTGTGATATTTACATTTTATTTATTTTTCCTGTGAAATTGATAAATTGCTTAGACAACAAACCCTGTATAGTGATCCTAATACAACATGCCCTCGGAACAAATTCTTGTCTAAAAATTTATTTTAATCATTGATTGAGGAAATTCTTGTATTTATATTTTTATATATCGTGTAGTAAAAATTGTCATTTGTCACTTATATATAATATAATATAACTTATAATAATACATACAATATTTTGCGTTATTAACTATAAATACTGTTTAACATCCAGATATACTGTCAAAATTTACAGAAACATGTGTGCTATAAAATTTTTGATTTAGGTACAGGTTTTTTTCTGAGCAGATTACAATAAGGGTGAAAATTTTTGTGTGCCTTTTTAAAATGCACACACATATAGGTATTTAATGTTTTTCGTTTGTATACATTTATATTATATATAATATATAAAAGGACATGTACTGGCTCGTTCACCCTACTAACAAATCTAAGACTAATTATCTATGAGGTAAAATTTTCTTAAACGCTAACTTATGTACTAAAATGTTTTTGCCCCGCGAAACATAACCCATTTCCTCCAAGGACGGTAACTATACATTACACGAAATAAATAATACATCTATATACAATATGATTTCCATGTTTTGTAATTTGAGCTTTATTTTCATTTTTATTTTTATTTTTCTTTAAATCAGTAGGTAGCGTCCGTTAATTACGTGAGGTGTCGAAATCGAAAACAATTTAAGTTTAAAAGAATGGAATGGATAGATTTTTATAATAAATATATTTCTATCTTTCGTGAGATTTAAGGGGTCATTGTTATGATGATGGTCATGTTAACCATGGGTCAAGCTTAATCCGCGATATCTGCCTCAAACGGAAATTTAAAAATAGGCTCACTCAATTAATGACGCTCCTTATATATAAATGTTTTTTTTTTTATAAATTTATTTACACCCCTTATAAAATAATTGTTTATATTTCTTAGTGATGTTTACACAGTATGCGGTATTTTGTACTATATTTTTCATTTGAAAACAATAAGTAATTTTAGGTATATAATGTAAAATTTCAAAATACAGATTTGGAATTTTCATTTTAATAATAAAAATATATTCGAATTGGAATACAAAAATGTATTCAATAAAAAAACTCGTTTTCAACGTTTTACTATAA